GATAATAAGGCTGTTCACTGAAAAACATATCAGCAGGCAAGGATTTGACCAGTCATTAATCTATCTGTTTATCTACCTACCTTCCTCCCTCTCCCTCTCTGGACAGATAGAAAAAATATGAACCTGTTCAGCATCACAATTATGCACACTGGACTTCGACATTTCTATTTCTTTGGCCCCATTTACACTACTATATAATGCAGTTTGAAAATGCATTATTTACTTAGGCAATCCCCCGTAGCCCATCTCCCCAAGGGGACTCAGAGCGGCTTATAACAACAGCCAATATACTGTCAATAACAATAAATAAGCACATAGCAAACAATAACAACAAATAAGCACATAGCAAACAGCAGAAGTGAACATATCAATTACATAGAAAGTAAATAACAGTAAACAAATTAAGTATAACTCACAAATATTATAGAATCATAGAATCCCAGAGTTGGACTGGGTTGTAGTGCAGCTGCATTAAATCACTACTGACCAAAAGGTCATGTGTTCGAAGCCAGCCTGGGTTGGAGTGAGCTTCCGGCCATTTGTCTAGCTTGCTGTCGATCTTTGCAGCCTGAAAGACAGTTGCATCTGTCAAGTAGGAAATTTAGGTACCGCTTATGCGGGGAGGTTAATTTAACTAATTTACGACGCCATAAAACTCCAGCAGCGTGCAAAAGAATGAGGAATTACTCCATCAGTGTCACAAGTGGATGGTGAAGCGACAGCTCCACCGGTGGTCAGAATTCAAAAAGCATATTCTCATGAAACTGGAAAGTTAAATAGCCTCTGTGTCTCTGTCTATATATGTTGAATGTCTATGGCATTGAATGTTTGCCATGTATACGTGCATTGTGATCCGCCCTGAGTCCCCTGCGTGGTGAGAAGGGTGGAATATAAATACTGTAAATAAATAAACAAACAAACAAATAAATAATAGAGTCGGAAGAGACCTCATGGGCCATCCAGTCCAACCCTCTGGAAATCACATTAAAAGCACCCCCGACAGATGGCCTCCAGTCTCTGTTTAAAAGCTTCCAAAGAAGGAGCCTCCACCACACCCTGGGGCAGAGAGTTCCACTGCTGAACGGCACTCACAGTCAGGAAGTTCTTCCTCATGTTCAGATGGAATCTCCTCTCTTGTAGTTTGAAGCCATTGTTCCACTGCGTCCTAGTCTCCAAGGAAGCAGAAAACAAGCTTGCTCCCTCCTCCCTAGGACTTCCTTTCACATATTTATACATGGCCCTCATCATGTCTCCTCTCAGCCTTCTCTTCTTCAGGCTAAACATGCCCAGCTCTTTAAGCCGCTCTTCATAGGGCTTGTTCTCCAGACCCTTTATCATTTTAGTCGCCCTCCTCTGGACACATTCCAGCTTGTCAATATCTCCCTTCAATTGTGGTGCCCAGAATTGGACACAGTATTCCAGGTGTGGTCTAACCAAGGCAGAATAGAGCATGGGGAGCATGACTTCCCTAGACACTAGACTCCTATTGATGCAGGCCAAAATCCCATTGGCTTTTTTTGCCACCACATCACATTGTCCCTGGATCTAAGCACTATATTCCTATTGCTCATAGCTATTATTTATTTATTTACTGTATATGTATACTGTTTTTCTCATCCCTAGATTTACTGGAAACATATAACATGTTAAAAACATTATAAAACTTGCTGTTGTTGCATCTACAAATCAACCATATACAGAATGATGCACTGCTTTAGTCTGTGAGACAAAGGGATGCATACATGGACACTTGCCTGCACTGAGCAAAATTGAAATGTTGTGTTGCCCCCCTGTGGCAACAGGAGTGAAGCCATATTCCAAATCTTTCCACAGAGCCATTCTTTTTGGATAAGAGACAACAATCAGCAGGACTTCAGTTCCCATTACAACAACAACAAAAACAACAACAACAAAAACAACAACAACAACAACAAAAATGGACAAGCCATCAAGTGCAATCAGCCTGAAGCCTACAAATTTCTGGACATACTACAGCTGGACAATATCAAACATGGGCATAGTACAATATCAGCATTATATGTTACTATATTGTATTATACCATTATATTGCATACACATACACTCATATACATATACACATGCACACATTCATACACAAACGTATATATATATATATATATATATATATATGCACAAACACACACAAATGTACACACATACACATATACATATACACATATACATGTACACATGCACACATACATGCACACAGATATACATATACACATACATACACACATATACACACAAACATGCATATAGACAAGCACACACATATACACAATCTGCATGTACACATATAAACACACAAATACACAAATATATACACACATATATATACACACCCATATACATATACACACACACACACAAACACACATATATACACAAATATATACACACATAAACATATATATATATATATACACACACAAAACACATATACACAAACTGGGCCACAGCAACGCGTGGCAGGCGATGGCTAATCACTCATAAAAACACTGAAAAACAGAGTGGAAGACTTAAAAAGCCAATAATAATAATAAAAAAATACATTACAGCATATGCACAGAACCACATATATATATATATATATACACTTATACACAAATATGTACACAAATATATACACACACAAAGCACATATACACAGACTGGACCACAGCAACATGTGGCAGAGGATGGCTAGTCTATATAAATAAAAATGTAATGTTCGTTTGTGGGATTAACAGAACTCAAAAACCACTGGACGAATTGACACCAAATTTGGACACAAGGCACCTATCAGGCCAATGAGTGTCCATCACTCATAAAAACACTGAAAAACACAGCAGACTTAAAATGCCAAAAAACAAAAATACATTACAACGCATGTGCAAAACCACATATATAAACAAACACACATTTATTTATTTCGGGCACTTCTACCCCGCCCTTCTCAACCCCCGAGGGGGGACTCAGGGTGGCTTACAACCGGCACAACTCGATGCCAACAATTCAACAGATAAAATGCATAACAACAATAACCACAATAGTTAAAACATTCAATTAATACAATAACAACTAAAAAAAAGCCAATCTAGTGGCCAACGTTCACCGAGTTCTAAAATCCATAAGTCCATTCAGCATTACCATAGTCCTTTCCAAATTGTGGTCGTCATTACCTTGTCAATCTGCCAGATTACCCAAAAGCCTGGTCCCATATCCATGTTTTCAGCTTCCTTCTGAAGGAGAGGAGGGATGTTGATGACCTAATTTCCCTGGGGAGTGAGTTCCACAGGTGGAGGGCCACCACTGAGAAGGCCCTGTCCCTCGTCCCTACCAGCCTCACTTGTGATAGAGGTGGGGCCGAGAGCAGGGCCTCCCCAGAGGATCTTAAACTCCAAGGCGGGACGTAGGAGATACGTTTGGACAGGTACACTGGGCCAGAGACGTATAGGGTTTTGTAGGTCAATACCAGCCCTTTGAATTGTGCTTGGAACTGGATCGGCAGCCAGTGGAGCTGACACAACAGAGGGGTGGTATGTTCCCTGTATGACGCTCCGGTGATTAATCTAGCTGCTGCCTGTTGGACTAACTGAAGTTTCTGAACAGTTTTCAAAGGCAACCCTATGTAGAGCGCGTTGTAGTAATCTATATACACAAACATATACACACACAGAACACATCTACACAGACTGGGCCACAGTAACACATGGCAGGTGACGGCTAGTTTAAAATAAAACTATATTATATTAAAGGTAAAAGTTTCCCCTTGACATTATGTACGCAAACACACATATACACAGACATAAAACACATATATACAGACCGGGCCACAGCAACACCTGGCAGGGGATGGCTAGTTTGAAATAAAACTATATTATATTAAAGGTAAAGGTTTCCCCGTGACATTATGTATGCAAACACATATACACACACAAAACACATATACACAGAGTGGGCCACAGCAACACATGGCAGGGGACGGCTAGTTCAAAATAAAACTATATTGTAGTAATGGTAAAAGTTTCCCCTTGACATTATGAACACAAACACACATATACACACACACACAAAACACATATACACAGACTGGGCCACAGCAACACATGGCAGGGGATGGCTAGTTTAAAATAAAACTATATTGTAATAATGGTAAAAGTTTCCCCTTGACATTATGTACGCAAACACACATATACACAGACATAAAACACATATATACAGACCGGGCCACAGCAACATGTGCCAGGTGACGGCTAGTTTAAAATAAAACTATATTATATTAAAGGTAAAAATTTCCCCTTGACATTATGTACGCAAACACACATATACACAGACATAAAACATATATATACAGACCGGGCCACAGCAACACCTGGCAGGGGACGGCTAGTTTGAAATAAAACTATATTATATTAAAGGTAAAGGTTTCCCCGTGACATTATGTATGCAAACACACATATACACACACAAAACACATATACACAGAGTGGGCCACAGCAACACATGGCAGGGGACGGCTAGTTCAAAATAAAACTATATTGTAGTAATGGTAAAAGTTTCCCCTTGACATTATGAACACAAACACACATATACACACACACAAAACACATATACACAGACTGGGCCACAGCAACACATGGCAGGGGATGGCTAGTTTAAAATAAAACTATATTGTAGTAATGGTAAAAGTTTCCCCTTGACATTATGTACACAAACACACATACACACACACATACATATGTATATACACACACACATATATACACACACACACACACATATACACAGACTGGGCCACAGCAACACCTGGCAGGGGATGGCTAGTAAATCAATAAACAGATTAGAGTAGGCGTCTTCCGGTATAGAACTTTAAAGCCACGCCCACATTTCCCCAACGTTCCAGAACCCCCCTTTCCATCTTCTCCCATTGGCTGCGTTGCAGCAGGAGTTTCCCCCGCGCGGACCAATGGCAGCGCTCGTGGCCTGACGTCACGCGGGAGAGGCTGTCCGCCCGGGAAGGTTTGAAATCAGGAGCCGAAGCAGCGCGTTGGGAGGAAGGAGGTCAACCGAAGGAAGGCCTGGTCATGGCTGAGCCCGAGCCGAGGAGGAGGCCTTCGCCCGGGGAGGAAGGGAAGGGGAACCCGGACAGAAGCGAGGCCAAGGAGAAGGAAGAAGAACAGCCTCAAGAAGGAGGAGAAGGAGAAGGAGACCCTTTGCCGCCCGCTTCGGATGGCAGCAGCTCCGAGCAGGAAGGAAGCCGCCGCGCCTTGAAACCTGGCAAGTCCCTTGTCCCGCTTTCGCCCTTCTCCAAAACCTCAGGGGGCATCTAGACTAACGAATTAACGCGGTTTGGTACCGCTTTGAGTAATGCTATGGAAGCAGGGGAGTTAGATAACATGCATTGTCATGTGCTTTACTAATAATATAATATTATTAGTAATATTTATAATATTATAATGTAATACAATATTATATCACTAATAATAGAATATGATAATGATATATTTTATATTACAAGGAATATTACTAATAATATTACAATATAATGGTATAGTACAAAATAGTAATATTTAATATTGAAACTGTACTATGCTAATAATATAATATATTGTACATATTTATAATATTATAAAGTAATACAATATAATATATTGTATATACATATAATATTTATAATATTATAATATAATACAATATATTACTAACATAATATATATTGTATATATAATATTTATAATATTACAATGTAATACCATATAATACCAACAATACAATACAATATTATAATTATATATTTTATAATACATGTAATATTTCTAATAATATTACAATATAATGCTATAGTGCAGTATAGTAATATATAATGCTGATACTGTACTATGCTAATAATATAATACGTTGTACATATTTATAATATTATAATGTAATATAATATAATACTAATAATATAATATAATATGTTGTATATACATATAATATTTATAATACCATATATATAATACCATATATTACTAATAACATAATATATATTGTATATATAATATTTATAATATTATAATGTAATATATGCATTGTTTATACATATAATATTTATAATATTATAATGTAAAACTATATAATACTTACAATACAATATTATAATTATGTATTTTATAATACATGTAATATTTCTAACAATATTACAATATAATCTTATAGTACAGTATAGTAATATTTAATATTGATACTGTACTATGCTAATAATATAATATATTGTACATATTTATAATATTTATAATGTTATAATGTAATACAATATCATATTAATAATATAATACATTGTATATAACTATAATATTTATATTATAATATAATACAATATATTACTAATAACATAATATATATTGTATCTATAATATTTATAATATTATAATGTAATACCATATAATACTTATAATACAATATTATAATTATATATTTTATAATACATGTAATATTTCTAATAATATTACAATATAATCTTATAGTACAGTATACTAATATTTAATATGGATACTCTACTACACTAACAATATAATATATTGTACATATATATAATATTTATAATATTATAATGTAATACAATATAATTATTTATCGTATCATCAGCACAATAAATAAATAAAGTATTATATTGTACTACATTATAATATTATAAATATTATAATATGTATATTTATGTATATACATAAATATTTATAATATTATAATGTAATACCATATAATTCTAATAATTCAATATTATAATTATATATTTTATAATACATGTAATATTTCTAATATTACAATATAATTTTATAGTACAATATAGTAATACATAATGCTGATACTGTACTATGCTAATAATATAATGTAGTGTAATACAATATAATACTACTAATAATAATGCAATATTATAATTATATATTTTATATTACATGTAATATTACTAATAATATTACAATGTAATCGTATAGTACAATATAGTAATATTTAATGCTGATATTGTACTATGCTAATAATATAATAGATTGGATATTCATATAATATTTATATTATCATGTAATACAATATAAACTAATACTAATAATATGATATTATAATTATATATTTTATATTACTTGTAATGTTAGTGATAATATTACAACATAATCATAGAATCATAGAATCAAAGAGTTGGAAGAGACCTCATGGGCCATCCAGTCCAACCCCATCCAGTCCGACCCCTATATTGTACTAATGGTATAGTACAATATTTATTATTTATTTATTTATTTATTAATGCGCTTGTATACCGCTAATATCTCAGCCTAAATCGGCGACTCATTGCGGTTTACAACACTTAAAAAACAACAATATTCAATTTAAAAGCATAAAAACACATAAACCATACAAAATTATTGGGCCACCAATAACAATCCAAATGCATCTCGTAACTGGAATCGCAATCCAAATTCATCGTCTATGGTTACCAATCCTTAATCATCAAGATTCGTTTCGTCGGGTTATCCGAATGCTTGTTCAAACATCCATGTCTTCAGTCTTTTCCGAAATACCATCAGCGAGGGGGCTGATCTTACCTCTATAGGGAGGGTGTTCCAAAGCCGAGGGGCCACCACAGAAAAGGCCCTGTCTCTCGTTCCCGCCAGCCGCACCTGTGAAGCCGGCGGGATAGAGAGCAGGGCCTCCCCAGAAGATCTTAGGGTCCTGGTGGGCTGATAGGCTGAGATACGTTCGGATAGATAAGTTGGGCCAGAACCGTTTAGGGCTTTAAAGGCCAACGCCAGCACTTTGAATTGAATATAGTAATATATAATACTGATATTGTGCTATGCTAATAATATAATATATTGTATATTTATTTATTTATCTCCTATATTTATACCCTACCCTTCTCTCCCTGAAAGAGGACTCATTATAATGTAATGCAATATAATACTACTACTAATAATATGATATAATTATATATTTATATTACATGTAATATTACTTATAATATTACAATATAATGGTATAGTACAATATAGTAATATTTAATACTGATATTGTCCTATGCTAATAATGTAATATATTGTATATACATATGAGATTTATAATATTATAATGTAATACAATATAATATATTACTACTACTATTCATATAATATTTATATTATAATGTAATACAATACAAACTAATACTAACAATATGATATTATAATTATATGTCTATATTACATGTAATATTACTGATAATATTACAACATAATGATATAGTACAACATAGTAATATACAATATTGATATTGTACTATGCTAATAATAAAATATATTGTATGTCTATATATCTATCTATCTTATAAGCCGCTCTGAGAAGGGTGGCATATAAATGTCATAAATAAATAAATATTATTGTAATATCAAATTTTTGATAAATATATGTCATCTATCTACTATCAATGCCATCATTATCTGACATGGATTATAAGGCCCCTTCTACACTGCCATATAAAATCCAGATTATCTGCTCTGAACTGGATTATATGGCCATGTGGACTCAAATAATCCGGTTCAAAGAAGATAATCTGGATTATATGGCAGTGTAGAAGGGGCCTTAGATGGATACATAGAAAATAGATCAATGGCAGAGTGATGACGCATGATAGATATCTATATCAATCATCTATCTGTTGACATGATGTAATCAATGGGTTAGCAAATTGATTTACTCACTGTAAAGTTGATTAAAATCCTCCATTAACTACTTTGGGTGTGTCTACACTGCAGAATTAATGCGGTTTGATTTAATCAACTACCAAGCTTGCAAACTCTGTGTTTTGTCTGTCTGTTTGTTTTGTTAAAAATGTAATACAAATGCCTGGTTGCTCCTGACACGATAAATAAATAATGTGGTTTGATACGGCTTTGAGTAATGTTATGGAACCATGGGAGTTAGATAGTATGTGTTATTATAATATTGTTTTGATATACTTATAGCAGATAGATGACATGATATTGTCATTTGGGAGTTGTAGTTGCTGGGATTTATAGTGAACCTACAATCAAAGAGCATTCTGAACTCCACCAACGATGGATGGCACATACAACTTCCACAACAAAGGGAAAATAATGGAAAGATTTGGTGGGCATTGACCTTGAGTTTTGGAGTTGTAGTTCATCTACATCCAGAGAGCATTGTGGACTCAAACAGTGATGGATCTGGACCAAACTTGGCATAGATACTCAATATGCCCAAATGTGAACACTGATGGAGTTTGGGGAAAACAGGCCTTGACATTTGGGAGTTGTGGTCGCTGGGATTTATAGTTCACCTACAATCAAAGAGCATTGTGAATTCCACCAATGATAGAATTGGACCAAACTTCCCACACAGGACCCCCCGAACAACAGAAAATACTAGAAGGGTTTGGTGGCCATTGACCTTGAGTTTTGGAGTTGTAGTTCATCTATACCCAGAGAGTAGCAGGAGGGCGGAGAGATCTTCGGTCTTCTCTGCCAAAAGGGTTCCTCAAACCATCTATATAAATAAAAACGTCATGTTCGTTTGTGGGATTAACATAACTCAAAAACTACTGGACAAATTGACACCAAATTTGGACACAAGACACCTATCAGACCAACGAGTGACCATCACTCAAAAAAAATTGATTTTGTCATTTGGGAGTTGTAGTTGCTGGGATTTATAGTTCATCTACAATCAAAGAGCATTCTGAACTCCGCCAATGATGGAATTGAACCAAACATAGCATACAGGACTCTCATGACCAACAGAAAACACAAGAAGGGTTTGGTGGGCATTGAACTTGTGTTTGGGAGTTGTAGTTCACCTACATCCAGAGCACACTGTGGACTCAATAATGGATCTGGACCAAACTTGGCACGAATATTCCATATGCCCAAATGTGAACACAGATGGAGTTTGGGGGAAATAGACCTCGACATTTGGAAGTTGTAGTTACTGGGATTTATAGTTCACCTACAATCAAAGAGCATTCTGAACCCCACCAATGATAGAATGGGGACAAACTTTCTACACAGAACCCCCATGCCCAACAGAAAATAATGTGTTTTCTGGTGGTCTTTGATGACCCTTCTGACACCCCCTTATAAACCCCTCCCCAGGGGTCCCGACCCCCAGGTTGAGAAATGCTGCCTTAAGGCCATCCAGTCCAAATCCCTTCATCAGGGCAAGAAAACGTAATCAAAGCCCTCCTGACAAAGAGCCATCCAGCCATAGATATAGATAGGGAGATATGATTCACACACACAGATATAGTATCACGGATTTGAAAGGGACTCCTAAAGAAGGACAATGACATGTTGCATGTTCCAGAGAAGGCAAACCAGACAATCTCCAAATCAACACTGGCAAAGAAACACCAAGAAATACTGTTTACTCACAAGCATCAACACATTACATATATTAGAAATCAACACTTTCTCATTACTTTATTTTCCAGATCAACAGACTGGGCCACAGCAATGCCTGGCAGGGGACCGCTAGTCAGAAATATGTGTTACCGATAGTCTTTGGTGACCCCTCTGAAACCCCCACCCCCAGGTTGAGAAACTGATCTAGAGCAAACTTGCACAACATGACAAACTTTAACTACTGATGGAATTGCAGTCGGTTAACCTGGGATGATGTGAGTTGTAGTTCACCCAGTGCCTTATGCATTTGGTAAAATAACAAACCCGGGCAACACCGGGTACTCAAGCTAGTGTCTAGTAAAAAGAAAGTTGAAAAAAAAATTGCCATAGTGGAAGGAGTGCAAGGAGGGGGACATTTTAGCCTCCCTAATTAGTATTTTATGACTGATAATAAAAGTAATTAAACAACTCTCCTCTTTGATCCAAGATGAAGACGGTGAGGACAGTGAATGCGGCAGCTGCAGTGATCACGAGAGTCGGGACCAGCCAAGGACGACTTTGCAGAGGCACTCCTTGCAGAGCAATGCTCTCTTTCCAGACACCTTTCAGACCAACAACCTCCTCTTTTACGAGCGGTTCAAAGCCTACCAAGACTACATGCTGGGTAAGAAAATACTAATAAGAATATATTATCTATATAAATAAAAAAATGTAATGTTCGTTTGTGGGATTAACATAACTCAAAAACCACTGGACGAATTGACACCAAATTTGGACACAAGACACCTGTCAGGCCAATGAATGACCATCACTCATAAAAACACTGAAAAACACAGCGGAGGAGACTTAAAAAGCCAAAAAACAAAAAACACATTACAATGGATGTGCAAAACCACATATATAAACATACATATACACATATATACACACACAAAACACATATACACAGACTGAACCAAAGCAACACATGGCTAGTCTTCTATATAAATAAAAATGTAATGTTAGTTTGTGGGATTAACATAACGCAAAAACCACTGGACGAATTGACACCAAATTTGGACACAAGACACTCAGTCTTGTGTGAGTGACCATCACTCATAAAAACACTGAAAAACACAGCGGAGGAGACTTAAAAATCCAAAAAATAAAAAAACACATTACAATGCATGTGCAAAACCACATATACATATACGCAAATATATAAACATACATATACACATATATACACACACAAAATACATATACACAAACTGAACCACAGCAACGCATGGCAGGGGACGGCTAGTCTTCTATATAAAAAAAATGTAATGTTCATTTGTGGGGTTAACATAACTCAAAAACCACTGGACGAATTGACACCAAATTTGGACACAATGCACTTCTCAGGCCAGTTAGTGACCATCACTCATAAAAACACTGAAAAACACAGCAGAAGGGACTTAAAAAGCAAAAAACCACAAATTACATTACAATGCATGCACAAAAACACACATATATATGCAAACACATATACACATATATATACAAATATATATACACACATACACACAAAACACATATACACAGACTGGACGAAAGCAACGCGTGGCAGGGGACGGCTAGTCTTCTATATAAATAAAATTGTAATGTTTGTTTCTGGGATTAACATAACTCAAAAAACCACTGGACGAATTGACACAAAATTTGGACACAAGACACCTCTTAGGCCAACAAGTGACCATCACTCATAAAAACACTGAAAAACACAGCAGAAGGGACTTAAAAAGCCAAAAAACAAAAATTACATTACAACACATTTATTTATTATTTATTTATTTAGAGCTTTTATAACCTGGACTTCTCGACCTCTGAAGAGGGGCATGCGCAAAATGACATATATACACAAACACACTTATATACACATATACTCAAATATATACAAACACATATATGCTTATATACACACACAAACACATATACACAGACTGTTCCACAGCAACGCGTGGCAGGGGACGGCAAGTCTATATAAATAAAAATGTAATGTTTCTTTCTGGGATTAACATAACTCAAAAACCACTGGGCGAATTGACACCAAATTTGGACACAAGACACCTCTCAGGCCAACGAGTGACCATCACTCATAAAAACACTGAAAAACACAGCAGAAGAGACTTAAAACGCCAAAAAACAAAAATTGCATTACAGCACGTGCAAAACCACACACACATATCTATACATAAACACACATATACACAAATATATAAACATAGAAAACACATATACACAGACTGGGCCACAGTAACGTGTGGCAGGGGATGGCTAGTATAATATATAATATAATAATATATAATAAGATACAATAACAATATGATATAGTAATATAATATATATATATATATATATATATATATATATATATATATATATAGTATACTAATATTAAGGAGCCCCCGGTGGCGCAGTGGGTTAAAGCACTGAGCTGCTGAGCTTGTTGATCGAAAGGTCGTAGGTTCGATTCCGGGGAGCGGCGTGAGCTTCCACTGTCAGCCCTAGCTTCTGCCAACCTAGCAGTTCGAAAACATGCAAATGTGCGTAGATCAATAGGTACCGCTCCGGTGGGAAGGTAATGGCGTTCCATGCAGTCATGCCGGCCACGTGATCTTGGAGGTGTCTACGGACAACGCTGGCTCTTCGGCTTAGAAATGGAGATGAGCACCACACCCCAGAGACAGACATGACTGGACTTAATGACAGGGGACTACCTTTACCTTTATACTAATATTGCGCTATGGTAATAATATATTGTATTCACATATTACTTGCAAGCTGCTCTGAGTCCCTATTGGAGTGAGAAGGGCAACATATAAATGTCATAAATAATGTTCTTGATGGTAGCTCAGATTTACTTAGGATTCATGTGCAACCGATTGCATTCATGTGCTATGTTTTGTTACGGCAGGCCATCCGACTTTGGTACAGGCTGTCTCCAAATTGCAAACATCCATAATTCTACAGTGTAGATCAGGCATGGACAAACTTTGACCCACTGGGGCAGAAATTGGGACTTTTGCATTAATTATCTCTCATTTCATTCTATTTTCTACCCATCGTGGTATTGATATATGTGACAATCATGTGTTGTTTCTTTTTTATCTGTCCTTCCATTCACTTCTAAAATTTGGTTCCTAGCTGACTGCAAAGTCTCAGAAGTGAAAGAATTCACCGCAGAGTATTTGGAGAAGCTCTTGGAGCCATCCGGATGGCGAGCAGTTTGGCAAACCAACGTGTTTGAGGTGCTGGTGGAGGTAAGTGTTGCCTCCTCTACTGTCATATCATCTAGGGGCAGATCCTGGGATTTAAAGACCTTGTAGACAGGCCCTTAGGCACAGATGCAGGACAGGTGATGGCTGGCTCGAGAACAGAGTCACATGTGAAAGAGGCCTTGGAATCTTTGTGGACCACAAGTTGAACTGACCCAACAGAGTGATGCAGGGGCTAAAAAGGCCAGTAGGATTTTGGTTTGCATCAGAAGTAAGGTGTCTAGATTGAGGGAAGTCATGGTCCCTCTCTATTCTGCTTTGGTTAGACCTCATCTGGAATCACACTGTGTCCAATTCAGGGCAAAGCAAGTTATGCCAGATATTGACTCTAAGCTGCGTGACAAATTAAGACCATGAATCCCTCTGAGGAGCATCTGAAAGAGCTGGGTGTGTTTGGCCTGTAGAAGAAAAGACATGATAGCCTTGTTTAAATATGTGAAAGGATGTCATATGGAGGAGGGAGCGGGCTTGTTTTCTGATGCCCTGGAGACTCGGTGGAGCGATGGGTTCAAATTACAGAGAAGGAGGTTCCACCCGAATGTTAGGTAGAACATCCAGAGTTGCTCTACAGTAGACACTGCCTTGGGGTTTAGTGGAGGCTCGTTTGGAGGCTTTTAAATGGAGGTTGGATGGCCATCTGTTGGGCTAGACTTACTTACTTAGGCGATCCTTCGTTGTCCTAGTAGGATTGTTCTCCAAGTTTGATGTTCTGGTGGTGGGTTCGTAGGTGACTGTGGAGCTCTATTCTTGACCTGCATCTTCTCCTGCAGTGAGGGCATCGGTTTCCAGGTAGAAGGCGGTCCTGGTCGGGGTTGGCTTCACACGCCTTCCTCTTGGCACGTTTCTCTCTTTTGCCCTCTATTCTTGACTCTTCAAATTCTTCACCACAACTGGTCACAGCTGACCTCCAGCTGGAGCGCTCAAAGTCCAGGGCTTCCCAGTTCTCGGTGTCGATGTCACAGTTTTTAAGGTTGGCTTTGAGCTCATCTTTAAATCTCTTTTCCTGCCCACCATCATTCCGTTTTCCATTCTTGAGTTCAGAGTAGAGTAACTGCTTTGGGACATGGTGGTCGGGCATCTGGACAATGTGGCCAGTCCAGCGGAGTTGATGGTGGAGGACCATTGCTTCAATGCTGGTGGTCTTTGCTTCTTCCAGCACACTGACATTTGTCTGCTTGTCTTCCCAAGAGATTTGCAGAATTTTTCAGAGGGAAAGCTGATGGCATCATTCGAGGAGTTGCATGTGATGACTGTAGACAGTCCATGTCTTGCAGGCATATAGCAGGGTTGGGAGGACAATAGCTTTATAAACAAGCACCTTGGTCTCCCTACGGATGTCCTGGTCCTCAAACACTCTCTGCTTCATGTGGAAAAACGCTGCATTCACAGAGCTCAGGTGGTGTTGTATTTCAGTGTCAATGTTGACTTTTGTGGAGAGGTGGCTGCCAAAGGAGCGGAAATTTTCAACATTTTCTAATGTTACACCATTAACTGTATCTCTGACATTGGAGGGGGATTGGTTGGTGACTGCTGGAAAAGCACTTTGGTTTCCTCAATGTTCAATGACAGACCGAGTTTCTCGTATGCTTCTGTGAGGGTGTTTAGAGTGGCTTGTAGGTTTTCTTCTGAATGTGCACAGATGACATTGTCATCAGCATATTGGAGTTCTATAACAGATGTTGTGACCTTGGTTTTGGCTTTCAGTCAGCTGAGGTTAAATAGCTTGCCATCTGTCCGATGTTGGCTAGATGGCCCATGCAGTCTCTCCCATTTCTATGCTTCTAATGCTATGGAACGGTGAGAGTTGATTCTGGAGGATCTCTAGAACTTCACAGACAGTGGGCTCACTGGTAATGCTGACTGATAGTGTTAGTAAAGTAAACTTTTCCAAGCTGTAGGCTTTCGTAGAGTGCAGAAAGCTATGCTCTTCATGCATCTTTTGCAACACACAGGTTGTCGATGTGGAGTATTCTGCCCTCAAAGCTGTGGTGCGCCTCTGTGAGCCCTTCCTGTGTGTGACCCGTGAGAGCGCCTTCACCCAGGAGCGCATGCAAGAGCTGCTTGAGCTGAAGGAGCATCAGCTGCCAGTGCAGGAGCTGTGGGTTGTTTTCGATGAATCGGGAGAGTTTGATCAGACGGCTCTGGCTATTGAGCATGTCAGGTATGTTTTGAAGTTATGAAAATCTACAAGACTGATGGTAAACCGATCCCATCAGTTCAAAGTGGGACTGATAGGAGGGCCTCCTCCACTGACTACAGTGCATGCATGGTCTGTATAAGACAGTGTTTCTCAACCTTCCTAATGGCGCGACCCCTTAATACAGTTCCTCATGTTGTTGTGACCCCCAATTATAACATTATTTTTGTTGCTACTTCATAATTTTGCTACTGTTGTGAATTGGAATGTAAATACCTGATATGCAGGATGTATTTTCATTCACTGGACCAAATTTGGCACAAATACCTGATACACTCAAATTTGAATACTGGTAGGGTTGGGAGGGATTGATTTTGTCATTTGGGAGTTGTAGTTGCTGGGATTTCTAGTTCACCTACAATCAAAGAGCACTCTGAACTTCACCAACGATGGCATTGAACCAAACTTGGCACACACAGAACTCCCATGACCAACAGAAAATACTGGAAGGGTTTGGTGGGCATTGACCTTGAGTTTTGGAGTTGTAGTTCACCTACATCCAGATAGCACTGTGGACTCAATGATGGATCTGGACCAAAACATGGCATGATTACCCAATGTACCCAAATGTGTACAATTGTGGAGTTTGGGGAAAATACACCTTGACATTTGGGAGCTGTAGTTTCTGGGATTTATAGTTCACCTACAATCAAAGAGCATTCTGAACTCCCCAATGATGACATTGAACCAAATTTGGCACACAGAACTCCCATGACCAACTGAATATACTGGAAGGTTTTGGTGGGCATTGACCTTGAGTTTTGGAGTTGTAGTTCATCTCCGACATCTCCAAAGCAAACAAGGATGGATCTGAACCAAAACTTGGCACAGATACTCAATATGCCCAAATGTGAACACTGGTGGTGTTTGGGGAAATTAGACCTTGACATTTGGGAGTTGTAGTTGCTGGGATTTATAGTTCACCTACAAAGAGCATTCTGAACCCGACCAATGAGAGAATTGGGCCAAACTTCCCACACAGAACCCCCATGACCAACAGAAAATACTGTTTCCTGATGGTCTTTGGTGACCCCTCTGACACCCCCTTGTGACCCTCCTCCATTGTGATGCTTTTCCTTTGTGTGCCGAGACCACATTGGTCGATGGACTTCCTCTCCTATTTTCCAGGTTTTTCTATAAACACATTTGGCGGAGCTGGGATGAAGAGGATGACGATGACTTCGATTACTTCATCAGATGCGTGGAACCTCGGCTGAGATTGTAAGGACCTTTTTTGGAGGATACAATAGCCCTTCAGTGTCTGTGGAACCCGTCACCATGATTTCATTTGTCTTTTCTTGTTATTTTCTACAAAACTCGTGGAGATTCTAGTCTTGGATATATATATATATATTTTCCCAGTGCATGGCACCAGTTTACCACTAGATGACACTACAGAACTGCTTATTTTTACAATTTTTAATGCTTTTGTGGCCAGAATCACTGGGTTATTGTGAGCTTTCCGAGCTCTATCGCCATATTCCATTATTATTATTATTATTATTATTATTATTATTATTATTATTATTATTATTATTATTATTATTTTGTTTTATTTTATTTTATTTTATTTTATTTTTTATTTTCATGTATTGAATTTATTCAATTTAACATAAACACATTAAGTAAACATACCTTTATCACTAAATTATTCCTATACTCTATAACTACTACAAATTCCAGCTAACTATAAATCAATTCAGATGAATTGATTTATGGCCATGTTCCAGAAGCATTCTCTCCTGACATTTTGCCCACATCTATGGCAGGCATCCCCAGAGGTTGAGGGAAACTAGGAAAATTGGGTTTATATATCTGTGGAATAATGTTCAAGGAGGGAGAAAGAACTCTTTACTGCTGGAGACAAGTGTGAATGTTGTAATTGGACACCTTGATTATCATTGAATGGGCTTCAAAGCTTGGCTGCTTCCTGCCTGGGGGAATCCTTTGTTGGGAGATGATTAGCTGGCTCTGATTGTTTTTTGTCTGGATTTCCCCTGTTTTTTGAGTGTTGCTTTTTATTTACTGTCCTGATTTTAGAGGGTTTTTTTTTAAAATACCAGTAGCCAGATTTTGTTCATTTTCATGGTTTCCTCCTTTCCGTTGAAATTGTCCAAATGCCTGTGGATTTCAATTACTAGTCTGTGCCTGGTAGGGTAGTTGTTATGGTATGGTAGTCCAGCATTTCCATGTTCTCAAATAATATTTCTGTGAAATGACCAGGGTGGGACAAAGAACTCTTGTCTGCTGGAGCTAGGGGTGAATGTTTCAACTGACCACCTTGATTAGCATTTGATGGCGTGGCAGTGCCTGCAGCAATCTTTTGTTGAGAGGTGATTAGATGTCCCTGATTGTTTTCCCTGTTGTTTTGCTGTTTTAATTTTAGAGTTTTTTTTAATACTGGTAGCCAGATTGTGTTCATTTTCATGGTTTGTTCCTTTCTGTTGAAATTGTCCACATGCTTCTTGTGGATTTCAGTAGCTTCTCTGTGTACTCTGACATGGTGGTTGTGAGAGTGGTCCAGCATTTCTGTGTTCTCAAATAATATGCTGTGTTTAGGTTGGTTCATCAGGTGCTCTGCTATGGCTGACGTCTCAGGTTGCAGTGCCATTCATGTTCTTTGATTTGTGTTTGGGCATTGCTGTGTTTGGTGGTCCCTATGTGGACTTGTCCACAACTGCATGGTATATAGAAGCCTAGAGTTGGAAGAGACTTCATGGGCCATCCAGTCCAACCCCATTCTGCCAAGAAGCAGGAAAATTGCATTCAAAGCACCCCTGACAGATAGCCATCCAGCCTCTGTTTAAAAGCTTCCAAAGAAGGAGCCTCCACCACACTCCGGGGCAGAGAGTTCCACTGCTGAACGGCTCTCACAGTCAGGAAGTTCTTCCTTATGTTCAGATGGAATCTCCTCTCTTGTAGTTTGAAGCCATTGTTCTTGTCCTAGTCTCCAAGGAAGCAGAAAACAAGCTGGCTCCCTCCTCCCTGTGGCTTCCTCTCACATATTTATACACATGGCTATCATATCTCCTCTCAGCCTTCTCTTCTTCAGGCTAAACATGCCCAGCTCCTTAAGCCGCTCCTCATAGGGCTTGTTCTCCAGACCCTTGATCATTTTAGTCGCCCACCTCTGGACACATTCCAGCTTGTCAATATCTCTCTTGAATTGTGGTGCCCAGAATTGGACACAATATTCCAGGTGTGGTCTAACCAAAGCAGAATAGAGGGGTAGCATTACTTCCCTAGATCTAGACACTATGCTCCTATTGATGCAGGCCAAAATCCCATTGGCTTTTTTTGCCGCACATCACATCCTTGGCTCATGTTTAACTTCTTGTCCCCGAGGACTCCTGCAGAGGTGAGAGGATCCCTCTTGTCCTTTGCTGAATGTAGCATTTGTTGAATTTTCTTAGTGGGTCTTTAAATTATGTTTCGTCATCAGCTTCCCTCTGTGGTCAGTGGTTCCCGGCAAGAACACTTTCCCTCTGGGTGGGTCTTTGTTTTGACTCTCGTAGCTTCTCCTGGGTCTTGCAGCTCTTCTGATGTCTGAGGTGGAGTCTCCATTGGCCTGTAAAGCCCTGTTTAGGTTCATTTCATCTTGGAGGAGGTGGGCTTCGCAGATTATTTTTGCGCGGTCTGACAGGGCTTTCCCTTTTTTGACTTGGGTGAAGGTTGGAGTTTTTGTGCTGGTATTGTAGGTTTTCCGTAAACTGTGTGGCGCAATTCTTGATTGGGTTTTCAGATGACTAGGACATCTAGAAATGACAGATTTCCTTCATTTTATTTTCCCTGCTGAACTGGATGTTTGGGTGGATGCAGTTGAGGTGGTCCAGGAACTTGTTTAGTTCTTCTCCATGGCTCCAAGTGGTGAAGGTGTCACAATTTATTTATTTATTTAATTATTTACGACATTTATATGCCGCCCTTCTCACCCTGAAGGGGACTAAAAGCGGCTTATAAGATATACTTATACATAAAATTTATTATATTATTAGCATAGTACAATATCAATATTAAATATTACTATATTGTACTATACCTCTATATTGTAATATTATTAGTAATATTACATGTAATATAAATATATAACTATAATATCATATTAATATTATATTGCATTACATATTTCTGATAATGGAAGATGCGCCCGTACCTTGGGAAGTCTGACTTGGCCATGGTGGTACACGCTCTGGTCACATCCCGCCTTGACTACTGCAACGCTCTCTACGTGGGGCTGCCCTTAAAGACGGCCCGGAAGCTTCAGCTAGTCCAGCGCGCGGCAGCCATGTTACTAACAGGAGCGGGACGCAGGGAGCATACAACGCCCTTGCTGTTCCAGCTCCACTGGCTGCCGATTTGCTACCGGGCCCAATTTAAGGTGCTGGTGCTATCCTACAAAGCCCTAAACGGTTCCGGCCCAAAATACCTTTCGGACCGCATCTTGGCCTATGAGCCCACGAGGACCTTGAGATCGTCTGGGGAGGCCCTTCTCTCGATCCCGCCTGCTTCACAGGCACGTCTGGCGGGGACGAGAGAAAGGGCCTTCTCGGTGGTGGCCCCCCGGCTGTGGAACGACCTCCCTGCTGACATCAGACAGGCGCCCTCCCTTCTGTCCTTCCGAAAGAGCCTGAAGACCTGGCTATTTGAGAAGGCATTCAACTGAGTGCTACGGCAACTGGTAATTGACAACTGGAACGGAATACGGATTACGATATTGGTTATGATTCTATGATGTGACGGAGCGGATTATTTAGTGTAACTAGATTATAGTGTATTATTGTTGTATTGATTCCCTGTTTTGCCCTTTTTGTAAACTGTTTTTATATGTTGTGCACCGCCGCGAGTCGCCCTAGGGCTGAGAGCGGCGGTCAATAAATGCAGTAAATAAAATAAATAAATAAAATTTCATTGAATGATGCTCCCTCAGGTCATTTCATTGGTTGCGGAAACAAAGTGTCGACTTCTTCCGTAATGGCTTCAGAAAACTAGTTCATCGTTGGCAGAAATGTATCCAATTGTCTGGTGATTATGTGGAGAAGTGAACAGTGGTAGTTAAAGAGCACATTCTAAGGATTATTTCTGCATTTGATGTATTAAAATATTCCCATCCAAACCCAAGTAACGAAGGTGGAGGCATTACTTTTCATTCAACCCTCATAAGATTGTACATAAGGAAGAGGAAGAGGGAAGGTCAGCAGAGAAAGGACCAAATTCATCAGGCGTTGGCTGCTCTTCTCTCCATCAGAGGCCAGAGCAATGGATCGGTGATGGGCACTTTTGGAAGTCCTTAAGCTTCTGCAAACCTTTCCGCAACCACTTTCTCCCAACTTTGAATTGCAGGTACTACGACATCCTTGAAGACCGCGTCCCATCTGCGCTGGTGGCTGAGTACCAGAGCCGCCTTTCCCAATGCGAGGAGCTCTATCGCATGTTCCTAGACTTCAGGAACAGCATCTCCGGGGCCGATTCGGACTCCGAAGCAGAAAACGTCTCTGTGGTGGAAGGGATGAAACTCTACGAAAGGATGGAGCAGCAGAAACAGAAGCTGAAGCTCATCGAAAACCCTCTGCTGCGGTACTTTCAGCATTACACATTTTGTTTAAAGCTATAATAATAAGATGACAAGATCTAATCGTTGTTGATGGACTTTCAGAGTTTGGAACAGTTGCTTACATTAATTGGGGCATCAGGAGGTCAAATCGTTTTGAAGATTTGCATAAAACTGTCATTTAAAAGACTATCCAACTCTGATTTTAACCATTATTCTAATTTTCTTAAATGTAAATGTGCTTATGTATCCTTCTAATAATAATGAAAATATAAATATAATAATAATAATAGAGTAAAATAATGGAAATGTAATAATAACAGTAATAATCGAGTAGAATAATAAATGTAATAATAATAGAGTAAAGTAATGGAAATGTAATAATAACAATAATAAAAGAGTAAAATAATAAATGTAATTATAATAGAGTAAAATATTGTAAATGTAATAATAATAATAATAATAATAATAATAATAACAACAATAGAGTAAAATAATGGAAATTTAATAATAGGAGTAACAGGGTAAAATAATAAATGTAATCATAATAATAGAGTAAAATAATGGAAATGAAATAATAATAATAACAGAGTAAAATAATAAATGTAATAATAGAGTAAAATAATGGAAATGTAATAATGGAGTAAAATAATAAATGTAATAAAATAATAGAATAAAATAAGAAATATAATAATAGAGTAAAATAATGGAAATGTAATAATAGTAATTATAGAGTAAAATAGTGGAAATGTAATAATAATAATAATAATAATAATAATAATAATAAATAGAGTAAAATAATGGAAATGTAATAATAGAAATAATAGAGGAAAATAAATGTAATAATAATAATAGAGTAAAATAATGAAAATGTAATAATAGTAATAACAGAGTAAAATAATGGAAATGTAATAATAGTAATAATGGAGTAAAATGTAATAATAACAGTAATAATAGAGTAAAATAATGGAAATGTAATAATAATAATAATAAATAGAGTAAAATAATAAATGTAATAATAATAATAGAGTAAAATAATGGAAATGTAATAATAGAAATAATAGAGGAAAATAAATGTAATAATAATAATAGAGTAAAATAATGGAAATGTAATAATAATAATAATAGAGTAAAATAATAAATGTAATAATAATAATAGAGTAAAATAATGGAAATGTAATAATAGTGATAATAGAGTAAAATAATGGAAATGTAATGTAATAATAGAGTAAAATGTAATAATAACAGTAATAATAGAGTAAAATAATAAATGTAATAAAATAATAGAATAAAATAATAAATGTCATAATAATAGAGTAAAATATTGAAAATGTAATAATAACAGTAATAATAGAATAAAATTAATAATAACAGTAAATTAATAATAACAGTAATAATAGAATAAAATTAATATACTAATAACAGAGTAAAATAATGGAAATGTAATAATAATAATAAATAGAGTAAAATAATAAATGTAATCAAAATAATAGTAGTAACAGAGTAAAATAATAAATAACCTTGACTCAAATATAAGGCGAGGGGAGCTTTTTCAGCCTAAAAAGGGGGCTAAAAAACTAGGCTTATACTCGAGTATATACAGTAGGTCTCCATCATCTCTCATTATTAGCTATTCTAGGTAGGGTTAATGGGAGTTGTATTCCAGATATACTTGGAGGGCCACAAGCAATCCACTCCAATTGACGAATCAGTCAGAAACACCCTTAACTATCTTTCTCTTTTTGAAGGTATGTATTTGGATATCAGAAACACAGCAGGCTCAAGGCGAAGGGAGCGCGTCCGTCTGGCACCGTAGTGACCCACGTTGTGTCTTCTGCCATGATGTCAAGCCTCTTGCAGTGCCTCTTCCGGGACAAACTTTCTCCGGATGCCTTCAATGAAGAAATAGAAATCCAGGTAACCACGTCTTTTCTTTCTTTGCCTGATTGTGTTTTCATCCCAAATAATAGCAAAATTATCTACATGGGTGGCTGGGAGAGTGACACCTTACCTTTATTTATTTATTTATTTATTTATTTGCTAGCCGCCCCCTGCCACTTGTTGCTGTGGCCCAGTCTGTGTATACGTATATGTGTGTGTATATATTTATGTATATGTGTTTTTGCATATATATATATATATATATATATATATATATATATATATGTCTCTGTGTGTGGTTTTGTGCAACCATTGTATGTAATTTTTGGTTTTTTGCTTTTTATGTCCCTTCTCCTGTGATTTTCAGTATTTTTATGAGTGATGGTCACTTGTTGGCCTGATAGGTGTTTTATGTTCAAATCTGGTGTCAATTCATCCAGTGGTTTTTGAGTTATGTTAATTCCACAAACGAACATTTGCATTTTTATTTATATAGACTAGCCGTCCCCTGCCATGCGTTGCTGTGCCCACATGGGGGTTCTGTGTGGGAGGTTTGGCCCAATTCTATCGTTGGTGGGGTTCAGAATGCTCTGTGATTGTAGGTGAACTATAAATCCCAGCAACTACAACTCCCAAATGTCAAGATTCTATTTTCCCCAAACTCCACCAGTGTTCACATTGGGGCATATTGAGTATTCGTGTAGAGTTTGGTCCAGATCCATCATTGTTTGAGTCCACAGTGATCTCTGGATGTAGGTGAACTACAACTCCAAAACCAAAGGACACTGCCCACCAAACCCTTCCAGTATTTTCTGTTGGTCATGGGAGAACTGTGTGCCAAGTTTGGTTCAATTCCATTGTTGGTGGGGTTCAGAATGCTCTGTGATTGTAGGTGAACTATAAATCCCAGCAACTACAACTCCCAAATGTCAAGATTCTATTTTCCCCAAACTCCACCAGTGTTCACATTTGGGCATATTGTGTATTCGTGTAGAGTTTGGTCCAGATCCATCATTGTTTGAGTCCACAGTGCTCTTTGGATGTAGGTGAACTACAACTCCAAAACCAAAGGACACTGCCCACCAAACCTTCCAGTATTTTCTGTTGGTCATGGGAGTTCTGTGTGCCAAGTTTGGTTCAATTCCATTGTTGGTGGAGTTCAGAATGCTCTTTGATTGTAGGTGAACTATAAATCCCAGAAACTACAACTCCCAAATGACAAAATCAATTTTTTGAGTGAAGGACATACATTGGGTTGTTAGGTGTCTTGTGTCCACATTTGGTGTCAATTCGTCCAGTGGTTTTTGAGTTCTGTTAATCCCACAAACGAACATTACATTTTTATTTATATAGAATTACGATATTTATAGCCCGCCTTTCTCAACCCTATGGCGACTCAAGGCGGGTTACAAGTTGGCACAATTTGATGCCATGCATTCATAAAGTGCAGTTAAAACAATCAACACAACAATATGAAACATATATATAAAACCATTAAAACATATAGTCATCGGTGTCATCCTGTTAAAACGTTTTCCAATCACATTGTCTGGCCATTCCATGTTCATAATTCATAGTTCTGTGTTATCTAATCTGCTACATTCTCAAATGTTTGCTCAAAGAGCCAAGTTTTTACCTTTTTACGGAAAGTCAGGAGGGAGGGGGACGATCTAATATCCCTGAGGAGGGAGTTCAATAGCCAGGGGGCCACCACTGAGAAGGCCCTGTCTCTCGTCCCCGCCAATCGTGCCTGCAATGCAGGAAGGATCGAGAGCAGGGCTTCCCCAGACAATCTTAAGCTCCTAGATTAGTGTTTCTCAACCTTCCTCCTGCCCCGACCCCTTAATACAGTTCCCCATGTTGTGGTGACCCCCAACCATAAAATTGTTTTCGTTGCTACTTCATAACTGGAATTTTGCTACTGTTATGAATCATCATGTAAATATCTGATATGCAGGATGGATTTTCATTCACTGGACCAAATTTGGCACAAATACCGAGTACACCCACATTTGAATACTAGTGGGGTTGTGGGGGGATTAAATCTGTCATTTGGGAGTTGTAGTTGCTGGAATGTGTAGTTAGCCTACAATCAAAGAGCATTCTGAACTCCACCAATGATAGAATTGACCCAAACTTGGCACACAGAACTCCCACGACCAACAGAAAATACAGGAAGGGTTTGGTGGGCATTGACTTTGAGTTTTGGAGTTGTAGTTCACCTACATCCAGAGAGCACTGTGGACCCAAACAGTGATGGACCTGAACCAAGGCGGGCATTGACCATGAGTTTTGGAGTTGTAGTTCACCTACAACCAGAGAGCACTGTGGACCCAAACAATGATACATCAGGACCAAACTTGGCACGAATACTCCATATGTCCAAATGTGAGCACTGGTGGAGTTTGGGGAAAATAGACCTTGACATTTGGGAGTTGTGGTTGCAGGGATTTATAGTTCACCTACAATCAAAGAGCATTCTGAACCCCAACAATGATAGAATTGGGCCAAACTTCCAACACAGAACCCCCATGACCAACAGAAAATACTGTGTTTTCTGATAGTCTTTTGTGACACCTCTGACACCCTCTCACGACCCCCCACCCAGGGGTCCTGACCCCCAGGTTGAGAAACACTGTCCTAGATGGTTCATGTGAGGAGATCCGTTCGGACAGGTAAGCTGGGCCAGAATGACTGATCAAGACAAAACTTAGCACACAGAGCCCCCATGACCGACTCTACATCCTGCTGTGGTTTGTGGGACAATGGACCATGGATGATGGGACTTCCAGTACCTTCACTCACTTCCTGGGACCACTTCAATCCACACCAATGACTCTACGTTTTGGTGCAGTTTGGAGGAGGATGGACCATGGATGATGGGACTTGTGCCTGGGAGCAAATTGGCAGCCAGTGGAGCTTATGCAGCAAAGGAGTCATGTGCTCCCGGAGCGCCGCTCCTATTAGCAACCTGGCTGCTGCTCGTTGGGCCATTTGCAGCTTCCGAACAGTCTTCAAGGGCAACCCCACGTAGAGTGCATTGCAGTAGTCTATATGGGATGTAACCAGAGCATGGATCACTGTGCGCAAGTCAGACTTCCCAAGGTACAGGTGCAGCTGGGAAATGGTAATTTGATTAAATGAATGATAATTATGCTTTTACAGTATGGTGCTTGTTTCTCCCTCTCTGCAGTTCCACCGTGACCCGCAGTCTGCTGTGCGTGCGTGCCACGAAGGAGACAGAGTCATTGTTTGTCCAGGTCACTATGTTGTTGAGGGTGCATTATATATTGCGGACTCCATTGAACTTGAAGGTAGGAATTCCTGTTTACAAACTGCTTCTCTTCTTTCAAGCAGGGGTGGAAGTAACTGCAACTCCAAGTACCCCAGGAGACATAGTCTTTGGTGGGGAATAATGGGAGTTGCAATTGATCAGTCTGGAAGAAGGCACCATTCCCATTCCTGCTTTAAAGCCTTATGAGGTGGACATTGTGACTCCAGATATTGTATTGTCGAAGGCTTTCATGGAATCACGGAGAGGGACATTGCTAACATGGGGAGGGAGTGAGTTCCACAGGCGGGGGGCCACCACCGAGAAGGCCCTGTCCCTCATCCCCGCCAAGTGTGTTTGGGCCGAGAGCAGGGCCTCCCCAGAAGATCTTAAATTTCGAGGTGGGAGGTAGAGGGAGATACGTTCGGACAGGTAAGGTGGGCCAGATCTTACCTGGTTTTCCAAAAGATCTCCAGGTCGGCCATGCGGTTGTTAATCCAATAGGCTTGGTCCTGTAAACACGTTTTCAATTTTCTCCTGAAGATGAGGAGGAACACTGCCGACATGATTTCGCTGGGGAGGGAGTTCCACAGGTGGGGGGCCACCACCGAGAAGGCCCTGTCCCTCATCCCCACCAAGTGTGTTTGGGCCGAGAGCAGGGCCTCCCCAGAAGATCTTAAATTTTGAGTTGGGACGTAGAGGGAGATACGTTCAGACGGGCCAGAGCCGTATAGAGTTTTATAGGCCAAAACCAGATTTTCCAAAAGATCTCCAGGTCTGCCATGCGGTTGTTAATCCAAAGGCCGTGCGCAGCTGTTGTACTGTCGACACGTTTTGTCGCTCCGGTCTCTATCTTGTCAAAACGTCTTAATGGAAAGAGAGACGAGGGTTTAATTTCCTGCTGGGATGCCTCTGCCTTTCCCCCCTTCTTTGCTTCTTCGTCTGGATAATTTCCTCCCTCCCTCTGATGTTGATTTCCCCTCCCACCCCTTTTTCTCCCCATCTCTCGACTCCTTTTGATTGATGCCGATATCCGCGGCGACGTGCAATGCTTCCCGCAGGATATGGGGTTTCAATACATTTATTTTATCAGTCGGAGCAAGGCTAAGAGAATTTGGGCACGCAGGGTGGTATTTATGACAAATCGCATCCCATCAGAGGGGTCAGGCGGAAGTTAGCAAGCAAATTAAAGCGTACTAGACCAGACATCGCCACGAGCTTGGAAGGAACAAAAGCCTTCCTCTCGCTTATTCATGGCGTTGACTCGCTGATGGAGACTTATCGCTAGTTGTTTCTCCAGGTTTTGTCCCCCTTCTCCGATCCCTCTTTTGAAAGCCAGGGAATGAAAACATTGGGCGACATTTTGACAATATGTGCTGCTCGTGATGTTGGAAGAGCATTAACGATGTGGGAAGTGCCTTTGTGTGAAGAAAAGAGTGCGGAAATCTATATAAATAAAAATGCGATGTTCGTTTGTGGGATTAACAGAACTCAAAAACTACTGGGTAAATTAACACCAAATTTGGCCACAAGACACCAAAGAGTGACCATCACTCAAAAAAAAATGTGTCTTTTGGGAGTTGTAGTTGCTGGGATTTATAGTTCACCTACAATCAAAGAGCATTCTGAACTCTATTAATGATGGAATTGAACCAATCTTGGCACACAGGACTCCCATGACCAACAGAGAATACTAGAAGGGTTTGGTGGGCATTGACCTTGTTTTTGGAGTTGTAGTTTACCTACATCCAGAGAGCACTGTGGATTCGAACAATGATGGATCTGGACCTAACTAGGCACGAATATTCCATATGCCTAAATATGAAGCCATCAGAACAAAGGCCAGGATCGAAAAAACATCGGATGAGCCAAAATGCAGACTGTGCAAGGAAGCTGATGAAACCATTGATCATCTCCTCAGTTGTTGCAAGAAAATTGCACAGATGGACTACACACAGAGGTACAACTCTGTGGCCCAAATGATTCACTGGAACTTATGTCACAATTTTATTTATTTATTTCGAGTATTTCTGCCCCGCCCTTCTCAACCCCCAAAGGGGGATTCAGGGCGGCTTACAACCTGCACAATTCGATGCCACATTCAACAAAGTAAAAATACAACAATTATAAATATAACAAGGACCACCTGCCAGCAGTAAAGAATTGGTGGGATCATAAACCCGCAAAGGTTGTGGAAAATGAATACTGTGGGACTTTTGAATCCAGACTGACAAAGTTTTGGAACACAATACACCAGACAACACGATTGTGGAAAAGAAAAAAGTTTGGATTGTTGATGTCGCCATACCGGGTGACAGTCGCATTGAGGAAAAACAACAGGAAAAACTCAGCCGCTATCAGGACCTCAAAATTGAACGGCAAAGGCTCTGGCATAAACCAGTCCAGGTGGTCCCAGTGGTCACTGGCACACTGGGTGCCGTGCCAAAAGATCTCACCCGGCATTTGGAAACAATACACTTTGACAAAATCACGATCTGTCAACTGCAAAAGGCCACCTTACTTGGATCTACGCACATCATTCGAAAATATATCACACAGTCTTAGACCCTTGGGAAGTGTTGGACTTGTGATTTTGTGATATGAAATCCAGCATAGAGATCTCGGTTGTTGTGACATACTGTGCTTTGTGTCAGTAAAATAATAATAAATGCCATCAAAGCCAGAATTGAAAAGTCAACAACAGATCCCAAGTGTAGACTCTGCAAGGATACAGATGAAACAATAGAAACAATAGATGAAACAATAGATCACATCCTCAGCTGCTGCAAGAAGATTTCACAGACAGACTACAAGCAGAGGCATAATACCGTTGCTCGGATGATGGCTCACGAATGGAACACTGAAGAAGGAGACAGAAGAAGGCCTGATTCTTGCAGCCCAGGAGTAAGTCATCAGAACAAAGGCCATTAAGGCCAGGATTGAAAAATCAGCTGATGACCCATCAATCAAGTCAATCAATCAAATCATTTATTTCGGTCATTGACCAGCACAGGAAATAGAAATCACATTTTCATACAAACTTGGTATGTTTGGTACATTAAAAATATAAATGTAACTACTTAAGCACAATATGGATGAGGGAGCAGAAGGAGAAACAGGGTGAAAACATACAATGCCCAGATCCATCACCAAATTGTAGATTCAGGGAAGAAGATTACTGGACACACAGTTGACTTTTGAGATTAGTCATTCCCTGACGGATTGTGTATGCTGCTGCACAGAACTTTGCAACATTGTAGGTTGTAGCTGAATTAGTATCTGCAAGTAGCATGGAGGTATACAATTGTCCTGAATGGCCTGGGTGCTTGTACATCAGAGGTAAGATAAGCCTGGCATGGATATCCCTGTAGAACTGGAGGAGCACATATTCTATTGTTTCTCCATGACCCGAGTCACAGGGGCAGCAGAGTCTCTCTGGGAAAGGGATCTTCCGGTAGCGGCCTTCCTTTGAGTACAGCTGATGGGAGAGCGTGGCATCGAGCCACGGTGAAAGCCCTTTGATGAATGGGAACCTCTAAGTTTGTTAAATATGCCATAGGGGAGGCAAGATATCTGCTGTCTTCATTGATAAGGAAGGTTGGAACCGAGGCCAGATCTAGTTGGCACTCTGTGTCTGTGATACGTTGTTTGATAAGTCCTTTGGCTTGATTGTAATCCATAGCGAGTAGTAGACCTGGAGAAAATCCCAATGAGGAGATTTTGGATGCTACTGCCTGCTTCCATGTGGATTGGAAGTCATCCTCCATGGTTAGTGGGGCAAGACCAAAGAGTGCACGGGATAGTCTGAGCCAGAGGTTGAGTATGGCCACCCACACCCTGGCCTCCACCCTCATAAAGCCCGTCTCTAGTCGTAGGGTGGCATTAGAAACGCATTGAGGGACCTGCAAGGTCGATCTCAGAAATTTTGACGGAACCAGCTCTAATGGGGCAAAACTGGGGAAGGGGCCCAGCTGAGCACCATACAAGAGTTGGGCTAAGGACTTGGCTTCAAACAGCTTGAGCGCTGCCGGTGTGAAGTGGCCCCCTCTTGTCCTGAGATATTTAAGAATGGCAATTGAGCTCCCCTGCGCGGTGTTGGATACTTGATCCCCATGAGCTCTTCTGCTACCATTAGATTGGAAAACTACACCTAGATATTTGAAGGATGTAACTTGTTCAATTTTATGGCCATCTATGCTCCAAGAGTAAGTCCTGGGCCTATTAGCGAAAGCCATGATTTTGGTTTTATTGTAATTAAATGGAGCTAATCTGTGTTGCAATGTTGTATTAATGCACTCAGAGTTGTTTTGAGCCCAATGGGTGTTCTAGAGAGTACAGCAGCATCATCTGCATAAAGCAGGACGGAGATGTGTTTTCTCGTGAGCTTTGGGGGGATGAGCTGATGACTCAAAATGCAGACTGTGCAAGGAAGCGGGTGAAACCATGGATCATCTCCTCAGCTGTTGCAAGAAAATCGCACAGACGGACTACAAACAGAGGCACAACTCTGTGGCTCAGATGATTCAGCGGAACTTATGTCACAAGGACCACCTGCCAGTAGTAAAGAATTGGTAAAGGGATCATAAACCTGCAAAGGGAGTGGAAAATGAACACGCAAAAATACTGTGAGACTTTTGAATCAAGACTTGCAAATTTTTGTAAACTGAGGAACACATACTAAAAATATGCAAGGTGGTAAAACGACTTTAAACCAAAACTTCAAAAGTTCAATTACATTTTAGTGTTGGATCTTTTCTGTTTTAAAACTTGTTCATGTTTGATTTTGCAAACTGTCTTGAGCCTCGGTTTTAGGGAAAAGGTGGGACATAGATGAGGGCAATAACTTTCAAAAGATGTGATTTAGTATGGAATTTTTTACTCATTAGCAACAAAACTATTTTTTTGGTTTGCTTTTTGGGGTGTTGTGTGTGTCCCCATTCCTAGTGACTAAAAAATACTAACACACTAATATGCTAGCTTTAAGAAAAGAAAGCTCCAAGCTCTGATGTTAGTTTTGTTTATTCAATGCAAAACTGCACAGTG